AAAACACTTGACGGATCGTTGTTGCCTCGTTTAATTAAGGAATACACAATCTTACTGTTTATTCCTTCGTCCAAATCGGTTGCATTCAATTTAATCACAAGTGAGCCCTGCGCGGCATCTTCGCTCAGACGCACTTTGTAAAGCGACTTGCTAAACGTGGGCACGTTGTCGTTGACATCGAGCACATTTACGCGTATTTGCAACGAGCCAGATTTAGGAGGTTTACCTCCGTCAACAGCGGTGAGCGTGAGTGTGATGAGAGATTGTTTCTCTCGATCTAAACACTTTTGTAGCACCAGTTCTGCAGATACGCCGTGGTCTCCTCCGCTCTGCACATCCAGTGTAAAATGTTCATTGTTGCTCAATTTATAGCTCCTCACTGAATTACTGCCAAAGTCTGCGTCCACGGCCACTGGGAGGAGATACCGCTCTCCTGGTGAAGCTGATTCAAAAATGTCCAAAGTGTACACACTTTCTATAACAGAAGGTGAATTGTCATTTATGTCCAAAATAGTGATCTCAACGCGATGCGCCGTCATCGGACTGTTTAACACAGCTTGTATCCGAAGAGAGCATTTCGCCGTATTCGGACAAAGCTCCTCCCTGTCTATTCTTTCCTTTACAAATAAGTTACCGCTCTGCAAATTCACGTTGAAATACTCTTTACTGTAGCTGGAAACCACACGCAGTCCTCTGGTGTCCAGCTCCTGTACGTTGAGGTTGAAATCCTTGGCGATGTTGCCTACCACGAAGCCTTTGTTCGCCTCCTCGGTAATGGAGTAGGACAATTGCGAAGCGGAAGAGCCGAAAATACAAAGAAGCAAAGCAAAGTAAATCCAGAAATCGTGTTTTTGTTGATGCATCCTCATCGCCAATGCAGCAAAATGTACAAACAGCCGTCGATTATTTATCCACATTGAGATAACTGAATCCAATGCAGCATTACTGTTGCGAGGTTGCCGTGCATTCTGCGCGTGGACTATCGGCAGATGACGATTTCTTTTTCCTCAAGCAGGGCGGAGTAGAATTATTGAGGAGCCGTCGGATCAACATATTCATATTTACGGTCTCCTGCGACCTCGTGTGGCCAATATAAGGTATCGGTCTATCATGACTGCCACTGCACAAGCAGAACGGCCGATCAACAAAACAACCTTTTTTATTTAGGCCTGACACCGGATACCGCTGGAAAACGTTGATTCATATCTTCCACTTAAAATGTATTCCAACATTTTCAGAACATATCAAGCAATAGTAGTAATACTAATTTCGACCTACATTACACAGTTGCTGGCATAAAACAAACAAAAGAGGAAACTCGATATCAACTGTATGATTAATAATTCTACAATATTTCATAATGACAATTATAATTCAGAATATTAAGTCAACGATGGTGCAAATGTTCACTCATCTGACTTCCACTCAGGTAGTGTGTAGTTACCACTCACTGATTGTGTGAATGTGACTGACTTGTGAATGGTTGTCTCATTCTATTTGTGCTCTGTGATTGACCGTCCATCAGTCCAAGGGGTTGTACAAAGGGTTGGTAAAGCTTTACCACGAAAGCCAGGATAGGCGCCAGCTCAGGCGCCAGCTCCTATCAGCTCTGAACCACACAAGCAGTATGCAGAATGGATGGATGGATAATCAATCTGATCATCAACATGAGCCACCCACAGAAGCGCATCGACATCAAGTCCAGCACCACGGACAGCGGCATTTGGACTTGCTTTTGTCACCAGTATATGGACAATGAGTGGAAATGTGATGTCAAAAATGGAAGTTCAGCATGCAGACATGACCATCGATAGCCAGTGGGGAACACACAAGGCCTTCATCTTAAAAGTGCACAACCTCGACTTATAGCAGCACTTCCCAAAAAAAATGGTGTGTTCAATTTACTTAACCTAATGTGCACTACGGGGAGAAAGGCCTTGATCAGTCGCTTGAATCCCTACTTCGTAAGCAGGAGTCTCTTCATAATTTAATGTACCTTTTAAGGTGATTTCCCCCGTTTCTGCATTTAGATTAAAAACACTTGACGGATCGTTGTTGCCTCGTTTAATTAAGGAATACACAATCTTACTGTTTATTCCTTCGTCCAAATCGGTTGCATTCAATTTAATCACAAGTGAGCCCTGCGCGGCATCTTCGCTCAGACGCACTTTGTAAAGCGACTTGCTAAACGTGGGCACGTTGTCGTTGACATCGAGCACATTTACGCGTATTTGCAACGAGCCAGATTTAGGAGGTTTACCTCCGTCAACAGCGGTGAGCGTGAGTGTGATGAAAGATTGTTTCTCTCGATCTAAAGACTTTTGTAGCACCAGTTCTGCAGATACGCCGTGGTCTCCTCCGCTCTGCACATCCAGTGTAAAATGTTCATTGTTGCTCAATTTGTAGCTCCTCACTGAATATATTTTTTTTTTCGGCTACACATTGCTTTCGATTGAAAAGCCCATCCACGGTCAAACTAAAGAACAAAACAAATTGTCAGCCTACCTTCTCAGAGGTGGGTAAAGTTTGAGTCCTGGTAAAGGTGTCACCTCCATTAATACTGATCAGTTCTGCTTCTACAGGTGGAAAGGGCCCAGGGAAAACCACTACATCACTCTTGAGTGTGTCTGAGCTGAAGCACACGTCGTACTGCTGAGTCGCTTTGGAGTAAGACCAGCTCCCGTCAGGGTGGGTGGTGATCATTGGGGCGCTGTACCTGTCGAAGGGGCCGTCTGTCTGTCTGTGGCATTTGAAGACTACTATTGTGATTAGG